TAACATTTAGATAGATTCTTTTATTGCCACTTTACATTCTAATTTTGTCATTTTTTGCATAAATATAAAATTCGCGTTCTTCGACGTGACAAAATGAAACCTAAGGGCCATTTCGAGGAAGAAGTGAATATTTTTCAACTTGTCTAAATATTTCTTTCGTGGATGAAAATATGACTGCAAGGGAAACTTTTATAAACTTAAAATTTTGAATGCCTATAAATAAGTTCTTATGGCACATCTTATTATACTGAATGTTATATTAAATTTAACATAATTGTGACATACAATAAATGATTTGCATTTAAATTAATTGAGTTAAGAAAAATTTATAATAAATTTTTGCGTGGGAATCTGAATTATTAAAAAAAAACATAACTTTTTGAAGAAAAAAATTAAGCCGTTCATATTTTAAAAATTGCAAATAAACACATCGCTCTAGAAAAAATTACATTTTGATTTATTAAATTAACATAATTGTGGCAGACAATAAATGATTTAAATTAAAATTAATTGAGTTAAGAAAAATTCATAATAAATTTTTGCTTGGGAATCTGAATTATTAAGAAAAGAAAATAACATAGCATTTTGAAGAAAAAAAACTATGTCGTTCATATTTCAAAAATTACAAGTAAATCCATCGTTCCAGAAAAAAATTAATTTTGATGAATATATTTTTGTAATCTTTTTTTTAAATGATTGTAGAAATAATACTGCAGAGCTTCCAAGATTAATTTGAGCGTGATTAGTTTTATATTCCAAAAATTCTTTAAGCATTTGTTAATTACTAATTTCCAATGTGTGGATTATTCCAGCATAAAAAACACATGAGATTCTTATGTTTTAATAAATTCATTATTTAATAGCAGCCACCCAAGTTGCCAAGCAGTCAGCGTGACAACTGCGAAGCCAATGGTTGCGAGTTCGAATCCTCTGTATGTCGCCCTTGTTGTGTGAATGGATCTGCACTGTGAATGGATCTGCAATAGTGTTGCGTGTATAATGTTTCTTGCTTCCTTGACTTTGGTTCAGAGTTACACAAGAATAATGCTAAGTTAGCAACACTTCCGGTTCCTTCCGGGGCGAAAAACGAGAAACTAAGTTTATGCCACTTAAAGGAAATATTTTATTGCACAAACAACACACTATTTGTAAACGGGTGCTCTTAATGATATTCATTTTCCAAGAAATTCATGTAGTTTTAACTAAATTAAAATGCTTTTAGTTACTAATCCTTAATGATATTGAAATACGATTCCATTACGAAAATCATGTGAAACTCATATAGCTTGTTCGATTTACTATTTTATTCCACATCAGATGGAACATTTGTGAACGCATGTTATCAAAGTTATCTATGTTTACAATGGATTTTTTGCACAAAAATATAATTTTAATTAAAATACTATGTGGTATTTTTTTTTTGAATTTTTGAGCAACCTTTCTGCCTTGCATTTTTAAAGTTTCTACGCGTCGCTGCTACTAAAAAATGGTGAAGTACTGTTAAAATAAAATTTAATTAAACTGATGTATTATTTTTAAGAAAATAATTCATGCTGCATGACAATATCCGAGAAAGTTCCTTTTCAAATGTAAGATTAAATTTTCATATGCGAAGTACATTACACTCCTAAAATTTGCGTATTTATATAGCGTAATGGAGGTCTTATATGTAACACATGGTAAGAATGTGTGAATAAAATTTTAGTGGTGGTTTTAGAAAAATTCGAATTCTTTATTATTGTTTCCCAAAACTCCTTCACGTATCAAGAGATTTAAAACTCAACAGTGTGTATTGTAATTAGCTATTTTTTATGGCATTTTAAGTTTGTTGATTAAAACAAATTATTAAAACTTCAAACTTACAAAAAATTTATCATATTTATGAATTAAGAATGAAAAAAAGGGTAATTCATTAGACGGTAGCCAATCGAACTGGGTTTTTTTAAATGTAAATTGGAATTAAAAGGTATCACATTAAGAAATTTTCCAATGTTTGTTAAAAAAATAAAGTAAAATAAAAATTCATTTGGTTGAATCTTCATTTTGCTGTTTGAACCGTGTATAATGTTAATGTTAACGCAGAGTAATTATTTGTTTAAGTCAACAGCTTTCTTATTAAGTCAATAGCTTTTTTTCTGTTACCAATTGAAATAGCAATTTTTCTCAAGAATAATGTGGTCAAAATATATTTGAAACAATTTTTTCACCGGAAATTTAAATTTATTTAGTGTAATTTACAATTCCTACACTATTTAATAAATCTTTTAAACTTGTTTTTAAGCACAATATCTTAAAAGTTTTTAAATAATTACAATAACGACTCTGTATATACAGGTGGAAAATTTTCTTTTCACTATGAAATATAAGCAATTTCAGAATTTGTTAAAACAAATTAGGCATTAAGTTTAAATATTATAAGCTTTTGAGCAAAATTGATTTTTTTGTAACAAATGATTGCTGATTTTAAAAGTAATTTGGCGAATTTCTAACGGAAACCATCAAAATGTGAAGTAATTTATCTAAAACATTACAACATTTAACAGCCAGCATATTGTACATTACTTTACTCAAAATTTGAAAATAGTTAACATATACCATTATTTTTTATCAATATTTATACAAAACATTATAAGACAGGTTTTTGCAATTTAAGATAAATAAAAAAAAATCTATAGTATTTTTTTTAAGTTAACGAAATTATTTTTTGCATATTTTAGATAACTATTTTCACTTAAACATTTTTTTTACACAAAAAGTTTGAGGAACACTATCGCCATCTATTGAGACTGCGTGTATCTAACACAGTAGAATCACTTTCCACATATATTTGTATATTTTATGTTTTATAAAAAATTTATTCTTTAAAAATTACTCAATATTCGTTCCAAAAGTTACAGTTTCATGCAATCGAATAATAAAGAATAGTAATAAATGAAATAAAACAAAGGTGGGAGTTTAAAGACAAATTCAACTGGTAAAATAGCATATATTTAAATTTTTCTATGTATGCTTCATTAATTCAGTCTAAGATTGTTAAATGAGAAAAGAGCAAAGCTGTGTATTTTGAAAAAAAAATGAAGGATTAGAGATAAATATTTTAAACACATTATAATTTCTTGAATCCTTCTTTTTTATAGGAAAAGTAGCGATTGCGATAAAAACATTTTTAGAGACTTACATGCAATTTAAACACCGAGAAAAATTTTAAAATATTGTTTCAATTTAAGTGGATGTTTGCAGAAAAGCTAAATATATGTCAAAACTATAATGTTCAATAATGAAAACGACACTTTTTGATGAGATTTGCTTAAAATGAAAAAGTTAATTATATTAATTATAGTTTTTAGTTTTCTAAAGTATTTAATATTTATAATATAAAAATTAACCCAGGAAAAATAATGTTTAAAAATTTTTAAATTAAATACAGTAATTTCTGTTATCTAAATTGAAGAATGTAAAATGTAATTCTAAGCGAAATAATTATAAGCTTGAAAACGATTTAAATATGCATAAATAAATTCTACGAGATTTAAAAATAATATTATTAAAAGGAAAACGATAATGAACTGAATACTCAGTTTAATAATATATTTCATGTTGGACAGACAAATCAATTACTATTTTTTAAAAAGGTTATTTTAAGTTTTAATGTTACGAATTACAGTTCAATAAATTCAGAACAAGGACTTCTTCCACAAAATGCAATCGTGCCATGTTCGTGCCAAAAAAGGTAAGCTTCGTTACAGAATTGTAAGATTTTTTGTATATTATGGAATTAAATGCTCCGTACTACTCGTGCATTATAAAATATATTTCTTTCAGACATATTGCAAACACTGTTCGTTTTTCTTCAAATACTTGCTCGTAAATTAATTTAAAGTACATTTAATAGACATATTTAATTGCTATTTTAGTAAATTACGTAAACTCAATTTTAAAAAAATGAAAACTTTTTATGCGAAATCAACAGATTTGAGATTATAATTAAAGAGTTAATTATTCTTCTAAGTTTAAATCAAAAATTGTTCTTCTAAGTTTAAATTAAGGTAATTTTTATTTCCTTTAAAAAGATTGTGCTATCCTTCCTCATTTATATGGTTATACTTGAGAGGTTTTTCTTAGATAATAATATAAATATCTTTACTATTTTTCATGTTGATTTTTTATGTTCTGTATTAACGCATTGACAGAAAAACATCTTGTTTTCTCTTTACTAAGAGATGGACGATAATTTAATAACTATATGCTTATTTATATATTTATAAAATTCAATTGAGGATAGTTTTAGTTTACGCAAACAAAAATACTTCATTAATATTATAATCCAGAAAAATGCGTAATTTGTATTTATCTGGTTATAACAATGCCAGTTAAACAGACACAAATTTTAATGTGCATATTTTTAATGAAATTAAATGTTTATTGAAAATAATTTCATTAATTTAACACTTGCTTAAATATAATAATACTTGGTTAAGTTTAATTAGTTAATAAAAGTTAATTCCTATATTAAATTAAACCATTCTCAAGAAAAAATTATTAATTTAGAAAAAATTAACAGTACTCAAAATGAGTAAATTATATATATTTTTTTTGAGAAAACTAGTAAGGAAACACATAAATAATTAAGACCGCATATTACCTAATGAAATTTTACATAAAATAAAACAGTTCGATTCAAAATATCTTATATTATAAGGAAATATAAATGAATACTTTCATTTTATAATTTTTATAATGCCAGCTGTAGTATCAATTTTTTTTAAATCACTTAATATATTTTCAAAAATGGAATTGTGATAATAAAAATAGGAAGCAATTAAAGTTATTCAAAAAGAAAATTAGATTATTTTAATTCACTCGTGAACTTCTCTTTTTTTAAATTAAATGTAAAAATTTAAATAGTATGACTCCGATAACACTACATAGGCTACTATTAATTAGATTAACAATTTATATTTTGAAATTTGATAATTCAGAAGAAAAAAAAATCCACTTACCCTGTCTATACAGCTTATTTTATACTGAGAGAGTTTATCACAAATGAAAGAAAAAAATGAATAAGTCCACTATTTAATGAAACTTGCGCCAAGAATGATAAACCATTAAGGAAGTGTGATCGAGGCTAAACTCCGACGAGAAATAAATTCAGAAGGAGAGGAACGGGAAAATCTCTCGAAAGAAAGATTGAACAGACGGAGAACTCGACACAGCTCTCGAGAGTTGGCACGATTGGGGCGCACCCTCGCGGCTAAACTTTGAACTTATAAGCACACTTTGCAGAGATCATTATGAAGATAATAGCAAAATATGGAAATGGCTATGTAAAGATGAAAATATTCGTCGCGGTTGGTTTAGAACAAATAATTGTCTCCAACACGCACTGGGTTACAAACTCATTCTTAAAAATGCTAGAAAATGCTCGTTTATCTTCACTTATTATTCTACAGGAATTAACGTGTGTAGTTAAGGTTTTCAAAATCTCTTCTAATTAGCTTTGGGAATTTGAATTTTGTTTTGTCTGGAAAAGCAGAAAAAGATTATGTACTGGAATTACAAATTACATACAATGCAAATGTATTTGAGAGTAATGAGGATATTTGATATTTACAATTTTAACATTATCGTATAAGTACAATATATATNTTATTTTATATATATATATATATATATAACAAAAATTAGCATTAATGTTAATAACGTTCAAATTCAAAATGTAATTTTGCATCTCACTCAGTAGCTAACTCCAGCAATTTGAGACAAAGCAATCTATACCTACTAAGTGTAAAATAATGCTTTCCTCACTTAAAAGTAAAAAAAATTGCAACCAAGCGAGAGTAGTTTTTCCCCCAGCTAAACCAGGAGGTATTCAGGAAAAAAAAACATTATTTTAAGTATTTTACGTGCTATCTTTAGTCGATAAAAAGTAGCTGATCTTTCACAAAAGCGAATGTATATTTTAGAATTAATATAATATAATTGCTATGAGACAGCACGTGTGATTTTGTTTTAATTCTAAAGTGATACATTAATTCATTGGCTGTTAATAAGGAAATCGTGCTGAAATTAAAAGCTTTTAAGAATAAAAAGAAAAGAATTGAGCTGTCATACATTTGGCCCATATTCTTATGTAGCATTAGTTTTGTTTTATTATTAAGATAGCTATCAGTTCTATCAATTTAAATCAGTCCCGCAACAACCATTTTGTCAGTCAAGATTGTCATGAAGAATTAAGGATTCACAATCTTGCGAACAATGGTATTAAGTTAACAGCGTGGTCAAAATTGTTTTATCGTTTTTCAACTAGGTGGGCTCCAACCGCCACTGGGGATCTAACCACAATCCCCCATAATGGCAGCTTATATCTTGACTATGATCATATTTGATTTACTAATAAATAATTAGGGTACTTAGTGTTTTACATGAGGGCATAGTGAGCATTAACAAAGCAAAAATGAATGAAACTTTTTCTAGTGATATTTTAAGACGGTTCAGTTTATTAATTTAACTATAGGAAATACATCATTGTAAAACCATTCATTCTTAGAGATTAGCTAAAAATGAGCGATCGTTTATTCTGATTTATAAATTATTTGAAGAACGTATATCACCCAATCTTTGCGTATTAACTTTGTATTACCTTTATAACGTATTACCTTTGCAACACAAATTCTTTTCATCAATAAATCCTGCTGTTGTATGAGATTATGCCAAGTTTAGAATGATCTTGAATGCCTTGAACTACTAAGACTCAAAATTAAAATCCCTGCATCTATTTTGTACATAATTATACTTAATTTTAATTAAAATACACTTTTGATTAAAAATATCTCCATCTATTTTACTTAAAAACATTTGACAATCCCAAATTCAGTTATTTATCTATATTTATCTGTCCAAATTCAGTTTTCTATAAAATGTTTTCTTTGGTCTTAGTTTTTTCATTTGATAATTTATGTACACAAGTTAAAAGGAAAATTCTCACTATCTTAAGTTAATGGTAATAAGTTTTTAAGTTAATGGTGATAAGTTTTTAAGTTAATGTTATTTAGTTTTTAACCAGAAACGGTATTTTTAAATTTTTGCATTTCATTGCAAAAAAAAAAATAAACTTGAGCTAAAAACTTCGTTATTAGCTCAAACAGCTGAAAAATAAACTGAATTACCACCCTCGACATACTCGGTTTTATACTTGGCTTGGCTTTTTTTTGCTGAAGAAAATTCAGGTTTTGCTTCGATAAATTCTATACGATGATCTATACATATCACTACTTCTCAAAAATGCTGTTTCTGTTATATAAATTGTGATTTATGCTGGCTATTGCTAAATATATGAGTTTTAGGCTTTTGCTGTATTTTTGCTGAATTTAATGGATTTTGTAATCTTTAAAGTTCACGTTTCCTTTCTACAGTTCATATGAGTTAATGTATTATTAATTGTCTGATCAAATATCGTCATAGATTTGAAAAATAAATAAAATTGATAATTGCATAATTCTGTTAAACATATAAATAAACATAAGATGTAACCAACATTTTTCCTACCACTTTGCCGTTATATTACAATATACAACAGATTAAACAATTACAATAAGATTACAACATTTTTTTTGTTATTAAGATACAAAATATTGTGATCACAATAATTTTTTCAATTGTATTCATTAAAACTACACCTATGATGGCGTTATAAACACATAATATCACAAAATCCTTTTTGAAAAATAACTCAAGTACTCAAATAACTCAAATAACTATTTCCTTTAAGTTTTACACTCAGAAAAGTTGGTCCAAATAACGAAAATACGGTACAATTTGCCGTGTTTCTGGCTCTATGGAAACTTCAAAAATCACGGTACATTTTACCAATGCGTATTGGTAAGCCTTTTTGGTAAAATTAAAAATAAAATAAAGTTTTATTGCCATACAATTTGGTATTAAATGAGGTAAAATTCTGTAGTTTTATTATAACTCATGGCATGATATAATTTTTTTAATTCACTTCTCAGTGTTTTGCTAACTGAAGGCGTGGCAATAAAAACCATAAGCGGCAATATTGGCAAATTAATGGTTTAAATACCGTATATTTTGGTTTTATTAACAAAAGTACGGTTTATTACCGAAGCAAATTATAGGTTCTTTATTACCTGGAATGTACAGTAATTATACTTGATTTTTTTTTCTCCGTGTAGCCTTTGATTCACTATCACAATTCTCTTTATATCAATAAATTGCAATTTACAATAGCCTTCTTATTCATTCTTTTTGTAAAATAAATGTTATTCAAAATAAACGTTGTACCAACAATGATCGGGAAAAAAAGTAAGTCTAAATTTCAACATCTCATTATTTTTATGGGATAGGCTTCCTTGAATAGTTAAGTAAAGTGCATGCAATTTTAAGGTATACTTAGCATTTTAATGACTGTTTTTAAGAACATTAATACTCTTATAAGGCTTATAAAAGCACGCAGTAAATGTTTCAGTCAATATACATCATTCAATAATACTTTAGAAATACAAAGAATTGATCATTTCTTTCAACAATAAGTGCCGTTTCCAGTTTTTCAAAATGAAAACTAGACACGCAGCCCATCTCGTTAAGTTAAAAAGGTAAATAAGATTCAAGTAGTCCTTGATAAAATAAAAGAACGGGAACTTTAAACAAAAATATAATTATTTTAGAGAATATCGAATCTACACAATTTAAATTATTTTTAAATCTTAAGTTGTATGTATAAATTTTATAATTATTGATATTTTGCGTAACACATCTTCAACACTAGCAAATTACTTAAAATTATTATACAAGTATGTGTAATAATTTTAAAAATTTATGCCTTTATGTCAAAATTAAAACAAAGTAAAAATATTTAAAACAATTACAATATTAAAAAACTTATAAGCTGCTAATGGTTCTTCAGTTTTGGAGAAAAACGCAGAAGGTGACTTGAACACGAGACATTAAAAATTTCAAAGTTATTGAGACCGTATCTTTTTAGATTTGATCACCTAAATCTGATGGTATTAAGCCCATAGTGATGAAAATAAGGTATGTTTGTCAAAAAAAACTGTTTTTGTATAGTTTTGTAGCTTAGAAATCTACTTTTTCCAATTAATTAGAACATTTAAGCTTTATTTCTTTATCTAACATGATTTATTATCCAATTCTTAGACTTCTGTTTTGATTTTTTTTTATTCCTTTAATTGACATTACGTGTATAACTTTCTGATAAGTTTCTATTTTTCACTCTTTATCTTTTTATATGGGCTTACAGTAGTTAAAAAAGTGGCCAAGTACACATACTATTCAATATCACAATATCATTGTTGAATACAGTCATATATATATATATATATATATATCTGTGANTTTACTGGAGAGTGGTCGCTCCCAAGAGGTTTCATTGTATACATATATATAGATAGATAGATATATATTCCTCCCTCTACGTTAGTTGTTCTCAAACAATATTTAAAAAAACGTGTTTTTATTTTATTGTCGAATTACGGCAAAAAGTAGGGGACATCATCCGTGAAATTCATTTTCCCGTAAATTCTACTTTATTGTGAAAATAAGCAGTACTTTTTACAGTAATATTTAGTTAATTAACAGTGATAAAGTGATTTTACATTTCATATTACTGTAAATATTACGGTATATCAAATTTTAAATTTATTGGTAAAAATAGATTTTATGTTAAAAAGTATGGACACTCTGAATGCCAGCACTATATATGGGTATTGCTAAGAGACATATGCGTATTAGTTTACTTTTATACACAGTGTAGGAAATACGATAAATTATGGTAGTGCATTATATTAAGAGTTATGTAACTCAAAAAATACTTGCATAGCTGGAAGAAAAAAATAGTTAAATCAATAACAGTTAAAATTGTGCGAAAACTTATTAATAAAGCATAATTAATAAAGTATAATTACGATACTGAAAATATGAAAAAGGTTATTTTTCAATAGAGCGCTGAATAAGCACTTCAATGAATTTTTGAGCAAAATATTTGTAATAAATAATAATATTTTGTAATATTTATATTAAAATAAAATAAAAATTCTGATCAGAATGTTTTTAATTACAATAGCAAATCTCGGAACACTAAAAGTTCTTTTTACGGAGAAACTTCAATTAAAATATTTTAGTTCAGCTAGCTTTTTTATTTTAAGTTCAAATCTGTATATGATTT